GCCACCACGCCCGGTCAGAAGAGAGATTAGAGGAAAACAATCTTTTTAAAATGTTTCTCTATAGTTTACAAAGTGCTTTCACAGGTCATGTCTGACTTAAACTTCATAAAACTCCTTTTTCTGTTTCTCATGTTTTACAGATGACGAGGACAAAAGTTATACATCTTAGTGTTGTTTGCCAAGAAGCAATAGAGTCAGGCACACCCTCACTCCAGCCCACTGCCTGTGTATCAGTGGGAAAGGCACAAAGTCAAACCGGCTGCATCCCTTCACGTGGACATCTCTCGAAACACACACGATTCTTTTATATGAATGCCAAGCCTGTGAATATCCAGATCCTAGCAAATCCTTCAAACTTACACCCCACAGTGAGTACCATCTTTCCCCACAAATCCTTTCAAACACTTTGTATCATGAATAGCATGTCTGTACTCATTTTCTCCAATTCTATGGACTTAGTCCCTGTGGATGGCCTTGTGTTCCTTTCCTTCTCCCCAAGACCCTGGAGCAAGGTCTATACCTAGCAGGGCCTCTGTGAGCACATGCTGATGTCATGACCATTAAATGAGAACCTTGCATACATATGGATTTACAAACACCAGACAGCGTGAGATATGCTTAGTTTCCTGTTGCTGCTAGAGCAAATCAGAGCAAACTTAGTGGCTTAAAATAATGTGTATTTTAAGGAGGTCAGAAGTATAAAACAGGTTTCATAGGGCTATAACAAGGGTGTTATCAGGAGTTCCTTCTTTCTGGAGGCTTTAGGAAATAATCCATGTCCTTGCTTTGCCAGCTTTCAGCGGTTGCCCACGTTCTTTACCCTACAATCCTCTTCCTCCACCTTTAAAGCCAGCCGCAGGGCATCAAGACCTCAGGTTGCAGCACTGTGATCTTGCCTTCTGCCTCCCTTTTCTGCTTTTAATGATCCTGTGATTACATTAAGCCTTGCTGGATAATCCACAATAAAGTCAGTAATTAGTAATCTTAATTTCATCCTCAACCTCAATTCCCCTTTGTCATGTAACAACATGTTCACAGGTTCAGGGATTAGTGTGCGGACATCTCGGTGAAGGCGTTACTCTGCTGAACAAACAGAGATAGAGTAAGAGGGAAAAAAGACACAGAAATTGATAAAATGAATCGTAATTCATCCAGAGCACCTGCTATCCCTATCTGAGCACTTACAAGATATCTGACTCTCGCAATAGGCTTTGTATGCATTTCACACATACATTTAATTCTCACATCAATCTAGTGGTATTGTATTAGCCCTATTTTCAGATTAGGAGAGGCAAAGGGAAATTATGTAATGATTTTAGGATCCATAAAGGGCTAAGTAACAGAGCCGAGAAGATGCTGTCCTCCTGCCCAGCCTCTTGAAGCCCACCTCTACTCCTTTCTGTCAGCTACACTCAGCTGAGCATTTTCAGAGGCCCTCCTCCTGCAACTCCCAGCCCAGACCTGCTTCACTATACAGCGAGAGGTAGAGAAAACGAGACCTGGTAAAACCCTCCAGCAGGTAACTCTTAGGGGATTTGTTTTTTCTCTTATTCTTGTTGTTCGAGGAGACAGATGATAATTAAAATGTCAGAGTCCTTCATGCTTCCCTGATCAAGATAACTACTTTACCACAGGTGATAGAAAGAAAAGGAGGAAAATGTCTGCTGTTGGAGGAGGTAGGCAATGATTCTGAGAAAGGGCAAAGCTGGGGAAACTAGGCCCCCTCAGCTCAAGGGAGAGCTGATTGCAGCTTCAACTGAACTAAGGCAAATGCTCACCCATGATGTCTTCAGGGAGATCCTCATGCCATCCCTCCTCCTCAAACCCCGTCCCTACCAGCTCCACAGGAGACAGTTCCCGGAGGATCCATCCGACAGCTTGCTAATTCTATCCAATCTCTCCAATTCAGTTAATTCCCAGTTTCAGTAACAGAAGCAGCAGCTGTCAAGATTAGCAGCTGTGTTCTTTGTCTCTCTAGCTCTACTTCTCCCCCTGCCTTCTCCAAGTTAACGAAGTGCATCACATACATCTTTCTAGGGGGAAAAAAAAAGAATAAAGGTCCTGGATGAAAACTGAGGAGCAAGGGGAAACGAACTTGTAAGAGCATGAAAGTGTCAGGTGAGCTCGGGACAATGGAGAGAATTCTTTCTCAACCTCCAAGCCCCAGGTTCGCATCAAACAATCCCCTCAATTTCCATGTGTTCCCTCTAGAAGTTTGTTCTTCTCAAGTTCACTGTATCAAGGAGCCAGGTTTTTCTTTTTTAAACTCCAATCTGTTGCGGACCAGCTCCCATTTCTACTGTGTACAACTAGCATGCAAGGTAAAAAAGGGTGGTGGGTCATGTTGGACCCTGTAGACTGTAGACAATTTTGATATTTTCTCTCTATGTAAAACGGGGAAATAGTGTTTTGAGCCCACAGTGGTATGATCCAGGTACATTGTTAGAGGGACAGGGATAGGTAGGGAGATGAGTTAGTTGCTGCAATAATTCAGGCAAGAGACAATGGAGGGTCCACTCAAGGTAGAACATTAGAAGACTGACAAGAGGTCCAAAAGTGGGTATGTCCTGAAGCTAGAGGATAGATAGGAGTCAATAAATAGATTTCTGATTTTCAATCCATGCCATAGGAAGGGTCATCACTGAGTTTGTCAAGTAGGTTTGGCAAGGAAAAAATCCAAAATTTACGTTTCAGTATGTTGAGATCAAATTCCAATACACCCCCCAGAGACAAGAGCTGCTGAGCGGCAGTAGCGTTTACAGGTCTGGATTTGGGACAAAGGTCTGGGCTGGAAACATAAATGGGGATTCAACAGATCACCGAGGGAGTAAATTTAGAGACAGGCATTGGAAAATGAAGAGATCGGGGTGCAGGGAGACTAGCAAAGGCAGGGTAGGGTGGAGATCGAGAGTGTAACCTGAAAGCCAAGGAAAGCATGTGTTTGAAGCAAGGACTCGGGCAAATTGCCAAACCCTGCTTTCCACATTTCCTTAAGGGGAAGATTAATGCACATGTGAGGTTACTGTGAGAATTATAAGGGAGTTAATCCATTTAATAAATATGTACTAAGTGCAGTTACCGTATTGGGTACTTGAATTGGAGTAACATATAGCTCCCCGCCTCAAGTAGGAGATTACACATTTGTAAAACACCTAGCCCAGTGTCTGACCCAAGAAGGTGCTCAATAGATAATTCTTTGCTGAGAATAGTAATTGCCTCTGTGTGGCCTACATGGATTCACACTCTCTTCTGCTTCTTGAGACCAATTAAAATTACTTAATGCTCATTAGTCAATACGGGTAAGCAAGGGAATCTTTCCTTCCCCCACTCACTGCTAACATTGTACTCTAATGCTCTGATACTCTATAGAGTAGGTGGATTTCTTTCTTGGTTAGGGAATTAGAAGGGTCCACTCTGGAACTCAGTAACGAGTCTCAGCAGGGCTGATCTGAGAACCTTCAGGGCACGAGGGCACCTGAGGGAGGCCAGCAGCCCAGTCACGCCGTGTACACACCTCAATCCTAGCTCCCCATCTCCCAAACCTAGAAAGAGGTGAAATAAGGCAAAAGGCTGTTTCCAACAGAGGAAAGAAAATCAAAGGGCAGCCTGGAGCACACTGCTGGAAGGCCAGGCCACTGCTTCGCTTATGGGTCCATGGAAAAGATGTGCTGTGGAGTGTTCGCTGAATGTTTCCACGACGCATACACGGATTTTTGAACGACTGTAAGATTTCTTCCCTCACAGGTCAAGCAGCCACCTTTACCTTGTCCACCTGGAGTCTGCCAGCAGGGCCTGGGATTACATCTTCTCCTCCCTCCCCCGGCCTCCCCAGTCCTCCTGTCTATAGCCTGGATCTGACACCGGGGTTCCACGGGCCAGGTAACCAAGGTAACCAAAAGCCCCAGCACCCAGATGGGCCTCCCTGGGGACAGCTTAAAGGGCTGCAGGCTCCCAGCATCCAAGGCGAAGTGGCTCCCCAGCTCCTCTCTTTCTCCCTTGACGTTGCCTCCTCATCCAGGCGGCTGCCGAGGGAGGCTCCTCGGAGCCGGCTGTTTTCTATGTGACTATGGGTGACATTGCGCAGGCATCCTAGTTTCTCCTACAGTTTCTTTGTTTTGATCTACAAAAGTCTGCCAGGTTTCTTTTGGGCCTTGTCATGTTAACAAAAACAAATGTAATAATAGGCACTTGAAAAGGCTCACATGTCTTGATATTTTAATAAGCTTTTGATTCTACAGGGACCTCTGAGGCTTTTAAAAGTTTAAAGTTAATAAAGAGAGTAAAAGAAAAAAAATACGAATTGTTTTTAATTATTATTATACAGGATTAACCAAGCCAGTTGTGTATAATTAGACAGTAGCTACCTTGCATAGTAGAGGCAGTAAATAGGCCCACAGGGTGGCTGCCAGAAGGCTGAGGTGTTTACAAGGCACTGGAGATGTTTTCACCGGGCAGAGCACATAATCCCCATTGCAGTTACTATTGCTTTTATAATGGATGTGCTCATTACCACCTGAGAGTAATGTGAGGATCCATCATCTTCCAGCGCAGACGACTCTGAAGTGGGGGATGGCAAGGGAGCGTGTGCGATACACTTTGGTGGCAACATTATGAAGTGAGCCCATTAGTATGCAGCTTTTTTGGTGGTTTTATTTTTGTTCCCATAGTTGAGAGGAATTTTAAGGAGAAGTTAAATAAACAGGTGGCAAAGGAGTAGAGATTAAGATATCACTAAGAAAGATTTTTTTTTTTTAGTACCATCAGCAGTAAAAGCAATTGGCCAGGATTTCTGGAGCTTTGTTATGAACCAGCCCATGACCTTAGGGAATTCATTCATCCATCCATTCATTCATTCATTCATTTATCCATTCAGCATTTATTGCTGCCATATGCCAGGAACTGTCTTAGGTTCAGGGGACAAAATAATGAGAAAGACTACACCCTTCTTCCTAGGTGTTCTCAATCCAGGCTATCTCTTTAAATCAACTAGAAGTTTTTAAGTGAAATAAATCAAACACGCATTAACTATTGCAGGATTTCTCTTATATGAGAAACCCATAACATAATGAAAGAGCAAAATAAAAGGTAGATGATAGTGATATAGGGGAAATAATATAACTCCCAACCTGCTGGCTGTCAGATATGCCAAGTTCGTGTACCCCAAAACTGAAGAACTAATTCTAAGGAACAATGGAAATTAAGAGTAAGAAAAATTTATTGAGGGACAGCTCCTAAGAGACAGGAGGGAACCCAAAGTGGGTTGCCAGTGAACCCACTTCTCAAAGGTAGTTTTAGAAAGCAAAAGCACATCACAGGGTGGGTACAACATGGGTCAAAACTATGATCCACTAATAAGATTACAATATAGCCACTTAGCTAATGGGGTCCAATGGGGAAGAAGGTCAGGTAGTGAGTGTACATGAAAGAAACAAGGACCTTCTTTAGGAAGGGGTGGATCAGGGGGTTCTGGTCACCCACCAGAACTGATGTCCATCTTGACTTTTTTGGACCAGGAGATACCAGGTATCTTATCCCCTGGGGAGGGGTGTAGACCTGGTCATTTCATCTTATATTGAGGCCTGGCCTTCAACAGATGCGCCTCTAACCACAGATGTAATGTGTTCTCATCCTTTCCACTGAGTCCCTTCAGGGCATCACCCTGTCTGAGAGTCTAGAATACTTCTACCTAACTTAGCTCTCTACAATACTAGGAAAAAAGGAGATAAATCTTTCACAAAAGAGAAGAAGACCAAGAGATGGAGGGAAGGGGGAGGATAGGGAAGGGATGAAGAAAGACTTGAAATTGTTATGTGCATGTACCAACTCCTCACAAGGAATAGAATCATTATGTACTACAATGTGTACTAATAAAAAATAAAATCTGAGAATAAAATGGATACCAGCCTGGACTTAACAGAGCTGAGCAGCATCTACAAGGCATATGAATTTTGAGAAAGCATTTCAGTGATTCTGATGGTTTCTGATTGGAGGGGGACAGAGCTATACTTAAACAATAAAATATAAGTACTATGAAAGCAGAGCTGCCCTCTCCAAGCTTCTGTGACTCTGCTTCTGTAATGGAGCTACTAATACCTGTCATGTGTCTGTATCTTGGGGCAGGTTTCCAGGAAGCAGACTTGGAGGAGGACCATGTAGGAAGTTCGGTGAGGAGCGCTGTCAGCATGAGCCATTGTTGGAGTTGAAACTGAACAGTTACTGGCTGTTTTCAGAATGGGAAGTGACTTGAAGGAAGGCAGCTCATTCTGGCTCCAGCCCAGTTCCTGGAGTGTGAGCAGCTAAAAGCTATCAGTGACCACCTCTACCTCAACCCTTGGGAGTTCTGGGATGAAGACCTCCCTGCTGAAGGAGGATGGGGTGACTTGTCACACAACCCTCCACAGGGTCCTCTGGATATTGGTATTGAAATTGAAATATTCTGAAAAATAAGAAGTTATTCATTTTCTGTTATTAACCCACAAATAAACGTACTCTTAAAAGTACGTTGGCCTTTGAGAGTTATTCAATTTTGATGTGAGAATGATCTGGCTGCCTTACAATGGTTGGTGTTGACTGGACTAAACTGGTTTTTTGGGGCTAAAATCCTACTTTTCCTCCAAAGTTCCTTGTGTATTCCCTCCCAAACTTCCACAGCTGGGCTGAGAAGGCACATTTCCAGGGAAAGAACAATCCCTTAAGAGACACGAATGAGGCTAGCTGTCCTATTATATACTTTAAGCTAGAAGTTCCACTTGTCCTACAACTCCTAAGTGGTAGTTCTTTTATTTACATTTGTTAAATATTTCACTTGACCCTCTGTCTTGGTTACTTTTCCCTTGTTGCTGAAACAAAATATTCAATCCCCAAAGTTAAAGAAGGAAATGTTTATTCAGCTCTCAATTTTGTGGAGGTTTCAACCCATACTCACATGGCTCCAAGGCAGGGTAGCACATGGCAGAGGACAACAATTCATGGTGGCAGAAAACGGCAAAAGCAACAAGAGCAAAAAGGGAGAAGTGCAAGGGAAGACTCTTTCTGTCCCTTATATTGTAGGTAGGCCACCCACCCTAGGGTGGGTATAGCACTCACCATAATCCCAGCACTGGACAATCACAATGAGTCAATCACAAACTCTAGATTCAACCACCTCTGAAAAGAGCCCCCATGACTACCTGAGGCTTTGGGGGGACATCCAGACACAAATTGTAACACCTTCCTACTTAAGAAAGAGTTGCTGGAGTTCTTTTCTGCATTCAAACAAAGACCATAGGCCCTGTTTATCTCTGCGCAACATCCAGAAATGAAAGGATGACCTGTAAGATCACACTGACTCTCGCTCTCTGTGGTTCTATGGTTCCTCATGCCTATCTATTTTCTTGGGCTGTGAGTACCCGATTCCTCCCAGAGAAGAGTGGGCAATGCAGGGAGACTTCTAAGTAAAAGCCTATTCTTTCAGAATAGAAACAGTATAAAAACGCTGCTAATATAACAACAAAATTGGAAGATTTTTTCCCCTGCATGTTTCCCACCTCTCTTTTGTCTACACTTTGGAGTGGGGAGGTCAATCGATGGTTATACATGCACTCAGAGGGACGCAAATGGAAAGATACTACCAATGGGGAGAAAAATGATTGAATTCGGGGTCTTCCTCCAAGGTCTTATCTGGACACACATAACAATGCATCCTCACATCAAGTTTACCTATGTTCCTGTTGTAGTCAAACGCTCAGGATGAGAAGCACCAATTATGTTTTTCACTTTACATTTATTTAAAGAGCCATCTCTCCTCCAGCTCTTCAGCTCTAGGCATGTTCAAGAATATTTTAAACAATAAGAAATGCTCCATGCAGCCTAGAACTCCCTGTTCTGGGAATTGAAAATAGCAAAACTGTTTGCTGGGAGATAATAAGCTGAAACACAAATAGGTAAATCTAGGCAGACACTTGGAACTCTGAAATTCTCATAGTGAATCTGGACGGCAAATTAGAAATGAGTTTTCAATATACGCCCTTGTGAAATGAGTTTTCAATATCGTAATATAACAACGTGGTTGTTAGGACTGTGAGCTTCAACCACAGACCACTGTATTAGACAGGCATGCAAAGCAGGCATCTGTGTAAATACATATTTGTATAACATCTCCATCATATTATTCCCTGCGGAAATGAAGATGGGGTTATCGGGACAAACTGCTAGGCTCACGAACCAGACTACTTTTGAGAACTAAAAGGAGCTTTTGGAAATGGGGCAGCTACCAGGATTTGTGGAAATGGGACAAATGAATAATGACAAAACAGTTTAAGAAAAAAAAAAATGAAACAGTTGCTTTGGGGCAGAATTGGCCAGGAGGAATGTTAATAGTCTGCTTTTACTGTGTCGTACAGAAAGTGCCACAAAGAGCACTTGTCCCTATGGATAACTCTGAGGCATAATAGGAATTTAAAGAGAAAAACTGGAGACAGGCATTAGGGAAGAGACAGAACTTCCAAACTCCCAGGGGAAGGTGAGCATATTCAAGCCATTTAAAAATTGAAGTGGAATTAAATTCTGGGAACTATTTCCCATTGTCAGTAACAATTCTCTGCTGGCCCACTGGGATGGTGCCTATCTTCTAACAAGACATTTTCATTTCTAATTTCTTTAACTCCAAGGAAAATCCTTTCTGAATTCTCCATAACTCTCCGCGGTGTTTACTAAGTGAAATAACTTGGTGCCCTCCACAGCCGTCAGTACCTTACTATCCACTCGCTTCTCCAAATCAATAATAAACACATTAAATACTATTGGTCCCCAAGCGGCCCCCAAATGCACCATGCTATTAACCTGTCTCCATTCCCAGAGACCAACACACACTCTTTCCTGCTGGTTCCTGGTTTTTTAAAACTTCCCAGCTTTTGACTGCTCCTGCCCGGCTTGAAGAAGAGCTTACCTGCACTCCTATTCCTTCCTAGTTAGTGCTGATGGCTACCAGGCTGGGCCCTCAACTCCTGCGTGCAGGAAAGGTGGGTAATACCAGTTCACTTGATGGGAGGCCCAAGAGATCAAGAAAGCAAGGAGATTAAGGCAGAAAATTTTCATTGTTCTTGCTGAAAACCCAATTGCACGGCCATGTTTCCAACTCTATTGAGAAATGTTAATTTTTTTTTTTCCCCACTATCTGCCGGAGGCAGATTTGACCAGGTGTCTCCACACAGAGTGGGTTCTCACAGTTTGGCTGTGTGTGTGTCATCAAGCTAAATAAGGAGCCAGTTCAGTCCGCCACCCCCCTTTGCTTCTGCCGGCCAGACACACTTCCCCATATGACAGTCTTATAAATAGCTGCTAAGCAGCTGGTCCTCCTCTCACCTTCTGACTCTGTCAGATTCCCCCACCAGAAGCCCCTGACAGTCATGCAGCTGGGAGCTCCCCTTTCTCTTCTTCTCCCGTCTCCACCCCTACCCTGACATGTGGCCACCACCCCAGCCATGGCCACTATAACCATTCAGGGATTGACTTCTATGAGAGAAGGGGGTCAGTGAGGTTGCGGGCTGGATTTGACCACTGAAGCAAGCTGTCACCCATCTAAATGAAGGGATGGAGGTTGGGAGGTGCCACAGTGAGACACCAGACAGCCCATACTACATGGGCCAGATGGCTGACCCAGCAAAAATCCCAGAATCATTCTGGAGTGAGTCAAATATTATGAATATCCATGAGGCTCGGCTACATTTCTCTCTATATAAGTACACATGAGAATAGTTCTTGGCAAATAAAAATAGGATAAAATACATTATTATTAACTTTTACAATTGCACAAGTTGTCAATGTCATGAACCAGTGATGTATTCAGAGTTCAAATGAGAGTAGGATTTAGGATAAAGAAAATATATGAAGGATTAAAGATTGAGAAGCCAATATGTAATAAGGTGGAGATAAAAGAGAAGTAGTTTTCTCTCCTCAAATATTGTTGGCTTCTATGAAAAGAAGCTCTAACTTACGAGGAATCAGAACTGTGGGAATGGTCAAAGAGAGTCAGGTCAATTTTACAGGAACCTATGAACTGCCCAGTGTGTACTACACAAGAAGAAGACACAGTCAGCCCCTGGCCCTAATTGATCCCTGGACTAGTGAGAAAGCCAGATAAGCAGTTGGCCATAGGTGCTGTAGAATGTGGAGTGGTCAGTTTGGCTTTGGGGAAAGAATTGTGGGTGTATATAGAAAGGACACAAGACAAGCTACACTATGCAATTAGCAGGAGGTCAGGCAGGAGGATGTATGAGTTCTGACAGGTCCTGGAAACAGCAAGTGGATCCACAGAGTATCAGAGTAGAAGGCCAGAACTGGACCAAGTGGGCTGGAGCACGGGATGCAACCGTGGAGAAAGGGTCATAAATATGATAAATGAAGTCATTAGACAAAAGTGTGTGTGAGGTTAGTGGTGAAATTACAGATCTTGTTTGTCACCTGGACAATCCATCCACTTTTTGGCTCACCTCACATAGGTTAATCTTAATTTTAAACCTATCATAGCTTAAACATGAACCTCCTACCAAAGAGTCATTCTTGAACCCCAGCCCCTCAAGATCACCTCCTAATGCACCCACATATTTAAGGGGATTTGCATAGTCATGGCTGCTACTGAGGGTCCCTCTATACAAAATGTGTGAAAATTTTGGCTTAGCCATGCTGGGGTAGGTCTCCCTCAGGGATTAACACACACCTAAAACTACCACTTGATTATTTCATAGACAGGGCCAAGGCCAGGATGCAGGAGGACACAGATCCCTGATGATGAACTGGGGCTTCGGCAAGAGATTACAGCTTGATGCCTGAGGTTGGAGGAAGGCAAGTCTCAGTCCTTGAGGACTTACGGGGCCCAATAGGGGACTGTGTGAATATGGGTGGGCAGGAGAGAAGGATGATTTCTCCTGATGTCAGCCAAGTTGCTACATCTTCTGGGCAGCCTTCCCCATCCTTCCTGGCTTGCCCTGGACACTGAGGAAATAACTATTTCTTGAAAGATTATAGGAACTATGTTCATTGAGAAGTTTGGGTTATGCAACTTAACATTCAACCATCACTTATAAAACTAATAATATTGCTTGATCCCTTTTTTGTGGGAGTGGTACTAGGGATTGAATCCAGGACCTTTGCACTGAGATCCATCTCTAGCACTTTTTATTTTGAGACAAGGTCTTTTATGTTGCCCAGCCTGCTATGTAATCGA